ATAATAAAATAACAAAGATCATCCACGTGTCACATATTCATTTCCCCTTTCAGCGTTAAGCTTCATTTGATACAAAAATTATTTATATGTGTAAAATTATAAGCTGAAATGCTAACAAATCAAAATTTTCAAAGCATAAAATATAAAGAGATGAGATAAAGAATCAAAATCTTTAAATTAGTCTATTGTATGCATGATTTTTTTCTTTTCATGTTATATTGAAATAAAATATACATTTTTCTTTCTCTTGTTTGAAGAAAAAATATCTTGAGAATAAACTTATGAATGTAAAATGGATATACAAAGTAAAACGTGGCCAAACTTACACATTCTTTGAATTCTAAATATAAATTCTTCAAATCCATATATGTATTGACATGCATTTATGCCAACCTTTGCTAAGTAACACATTCAATTTCTTTTTGCAATCCACATTTAAAAATTAACATCCATTTATAAATTCTTTTTCTTTTGAACTTCTTTTGGCATTCATGTACCCTGCAAACATTATGTTCTAAGAGGATGAATGCCATTTTGTACTATATCCAAATTTTTTTATGATTACATTTTTCAAAGATAAAGAGTTTTGACATAAAATACCATTAATTTAATAATTAAAATAAAAAGTTTCCAGAATTTTTCCAATATTAAAAATCGTGACTATTATCAAATTCAAGAAAATAAAATAATACATCAGTTTAAAATAAATTTGCAATTGAATGGATAGAACAATGAGTAAAAGAAACCTAGACCTAAGCAGTTGTAATGCAGCACCTAGCAAGAGCAAGAAAACCCTACAACAATGCATCTAAGATCAAATTGGCAATTTTTTGTACCATCATTCTTTTTCTTGCTTTTTGTTTTCTACCTACAAATCTTGAAAGCATTTAAGAAATAAAATGCTAAATATTAATTACCTAATGCAAAGTTTCTATTCATAAATAGAAGGAAAGGAAAGAGAAAAAACAGGTTTTGTAGTAAGGATATTGTACACATATAATCTACAAAAAAAAATAACCATAAAAAACAAAAACATGAATAGAAACTTAAGTGAAACCTTAAATATAATTACCACATTATACTCATAACGAGAAATTAAACCCTCTCATTTTCATGAAGGGACTATCTGTAAACCCAAAACAATAATTCATTATTATAAAATGTAATGCAAACAATTGATATTAAACTTTCATGAACCCACATAAAATGTAATGCAAACAATTGATACCAATGGACGCAGCTATGTTCATTAGAAATGGACACATATATAGAAAGGCACATTCATTTCAACTGACCAACTTAAAAAATCAACAAAAATCATCTAACAACGGCTATATACAGAAAAGTGACAAAATCAATTATTCTAACAACTCCTAATGACACCACAAATTAAAGACAATAACCTACATAAAAAAATTACTAAAACATCATAAACTTGTAATTAAAAAAGCCTATGCAAAAAAAATCTATCCAAAAAAGCCAAATAACCAAGATAATATCACTAAGGAACAAGCAAAACAAACCTAAAAGCTAGAAAAACAAAATGATTCAAAAATAATTAAAACAAAACAAAAAAAAAAAGGTGAAAACTTTTAATAACTTCAAAAACAGAGTTATATTAGTTGAGGGCATCAACAATGAACTTGTAAAGTTGAAAAGTAGTAAGTTTGACCACTTTACCAAATGGATTTAGATCCACAACTGAGTTTCTAATAGCCTTTGTAATGTACATACGATCTGTCCAAGTAATCCTTTGTAACATCAATAGTTAACAATGAAGGTATCCTGTGAAAGAACATGGCAACATATAGCAAAAATGAAATTAACCAAAATTCTTTACACACCATATTTGTTATTCACCAAGTTACCATATGCAAATATAATGAACTACTTGGTACCAATGTTTTCCAAGGAAGAGATCCAAGCCAAATTAAAAAGAACCCATTTAAACTCCTAAGCATTAAACAATTTCAAAAAAAAAAAAAATGACCTCTTATAAGAAAGTTAACAGTCAAGGAAAAAAAGGCTAAGGAAACTTGTAACGCCTTGCAAACAATTCTTTGAGAGGCTGATGTGGTGGTGGTAAAGGACCAATTTGATATGATGTTGCTGGACCTGATGATTTTGAAGCAAAATTATTTCCTTTATATTGCTCATGAAATTGTTTCAGTTGAGCTGTAGTTTTTGGAATAAGAAAAAGAATCAAATTTCAAACACCCATAAACTTGTATTATTTGAGAAGCAAAAGCTAGGACAAAAGTTAAAAAGATGATAACTTTTTTTTTTTTGGGTTTAAAAACAAAAGAAAAAAAAATGAGCTTTTGAAGAACAAAAAAATGATAGGTTTTGAGATACCTTTTTTAGGTTTGTTGTCATAAAGCTTTGGACCTTCGCTCATTATTAGCTGAAACTCCTTTTTGTCACAACAGTACTTTGATCTTCCTCTACTTTCTCACGTAATGTTTCCTTGTTACGCCTATATGGTTCCCAATTATCTTTATAGGAAACAAGTTTTTACCTTTTAATGATAAAAGTCTAAGGGATCAATAATGACTTTAATCGAAAGTAAAAGTATTCTTAGTAAAGGATAAAGCTTTTTATTTCTCCATTTTGCTTCCATTTCTCTATCCCTAGTAAGGAACCAACCAATTAACCTTACTTAGCAAATCATAGGGTTCTTCATCTTGGCCTCCTTTAATGCAACATCTCTTACATTATTAATGTTTGGTGGAACTGCAATGAAAGAGAAAAAAAAAAGAATGGTCAAGTAATGGGCAAAAGAAGGGAAAAAAAAAGATGAAATAAAAAAGAAAAAAAAAGGTGGGTAGGAAATGGCGTGAAAAAGGAAAAAAAAAAAACAAAGATTAAGTATCTAGCTGAAGAAGAAAGGAAAGGAAAAATGAAAAAAAAATAAAAATCAACATGTAGATAACTTAGATGAAAGTCAAAATGGGAGTTGAAAAAGATGATTTTTTTATATGTTAAATACTACATTTCTTATGTATGAAATGTGGTTTTTAGATTTAAAAATTACGTTTTTTACATAAAAAAATACTCTAAATAATTTTTAAATTTAATCCTTTTTATTCATTATTAATCATGTTTTAAAACTAAAAAAAGTGATTTTTGTTAAATTATCAATCACATTTTTAAATTAATAAATGTGATCTTTATTAGGAAAGATCACATTTTTAAGCATCATAGGTTTTTTTTAAATTACATTAATTATTACATTTCTCATATCATAAACATCATTGATATAAAAATATTTATATTATTTTGTTATTATTTTAATTGATCTATTACATTTCAAATATAAAAAATATAATATTTTCTAAAATTAAAAAAAAATTAAATCATAGTTATTCACTCCATTTGTTCATTTAATAGCTATCCTTATATCAGTATTTGAAAAGTTACGAAATAATTTCAGTATAGATTTATCGCTTTTGACTTTTTACAATCTTTCTCTTATTCTTACTGCAATTAAAGCAAAATAGGAAAAAAAAAGAAATAATTACGTGGGGGTACCTTGGCTTTGTCTTTGCATTTTTACTTCTTACTTTCTTTGTCATTTTTTTTTGCCAACTTTCGTAACTTTTCATCAATCTTTTAATAATATCCAATCAATCTTTTCTTTCTTTATTTTTTTATTCACATACAAAAGACAATAAATTGAGCCATGTGAAAGAAAAAAAAAGTTATAAATAAAAAAATATTAAGAAAATTAAAAAAAAAAAAAAGAAATTAGACGACTTATCCGTTCAGCATGTCTTCCAAAATTAATTGGATATTTTGATTTAATGTTGCCCTTCTCCTCAATTCATCTTCTTGTCTTTACGTTTTTGCTAACATGCTTGATTCAACACTGGATTTGATCAGCCAAGCTGTTTGCAACAATCTTTATGTTTTCTGTCTCTTCAATTTGATCATTTTCATGATCTTCATGGGTTCAAAGCATAGTTCCAACTTCGATCGAGATTATGAAATTTCTCTCTCGACATCTACAAATGATAAAGCAAGATTTAGAGGTAAAGCAGTTACCCAACAGAAGTGAACAAGCAACGAAGGGCAGTGGAGTGTCAAGTGCCCATGAGACAGCTACGGAGGAAAACAAAGGGAACAGAAATGATTGTAATGGCAACAATACCGTTGAAGACGCTGAAGGGGTTGATGAGTTAAGAAGAAGAGTAAATTTATTGTCAAGGTCAACAGAGAATGGAGAGCAGAAAAGTTAGGGATGTCTATTTCAGCTCAGAGATAAATCTGAAATCAAGGTTTTCAAAGCCTTTTTTTTAATTGATGGGGTCATGGCTGCTGGAAAATATTTCCCTTCTATTCTTTTTCTTTGGAAAAAGCGTCGGGACATGATCTCAGAGCTGATAGCTGAGACCATACAAGACATTTTCTGCAGCTTTGTTTAGAATTGTACCATGGCTTGGCTCCCTATGTAACTGAATGCTCTAAGTTTCGATGATCAAAGGAAGAATAAAATGAGATTAAAGATGGATTATTTTTCTCTCTATGCTGTCCAAATGCTGCATTCTTGACCACTAAACTAATAGAAATTCATTTAAAAAAAGGTTAAATATAAACTGGTCTTCTGAACTCTGTTTTTTTTTTTTTTTTTTCTTCTGGTCTTTTGAGCTATCCTTAATCTCACTTTAGTCAAATAATAAAGGGCCAGATTAATAATGGCAACTTTGTTATCTTGATGCTGCAATTTGAAGGCCTGATTTTTTTTTTCTCTTTTTATCGAACGTAATATTCTGCAAATAACGCAGATTTTGACATCAAGGTTAAGATTGTATTTGACCAAAAAAAAAGGTTTTAAGGTTGTCTGACAGCAGTTAGAATTTCAAAGACAATGAGTACACAACTAGCCGTGACCCATGATGAAACCCTTAAAGCCGAGCTCTGGAAAGGTCAAATATCTATGAAACTTGAAATAAATTCTATTTTGTCGTGTGGCAAACTTGAAATGGTGGGATGCGGGATTCTCTGTTATTTGGAAATGTAGCAATTCATTATTTAATTAAGCATCTTGAGTTTCGACAAACCATAATCAAAACATGCATTTTAAGCTTCAAATCATTCGGATACAGGCACTTGATCAGGGGAAAGGCACACCAGGTTTCAATCATTCATAAAATTTTACATCAATGAGTAATACACCATCACCGTTAAGAAAGCCGGATACCGATCTAAAAATTAGAAATCCTACCTAAACCTAAAAAGGCAGTACAATTATGGGTTAAAACCATCATGACATTAAACCTACTTTTCCCTTGGTTAGAAGCCAATGAAATTATACTGGTTTTGGACGAGTTTGACTTTGGAGGCTACAGTATGTTGTGTCCACATAAAAAGAACAATGATGATGAACTAGCTTCCAGCATGCAAATGCTATCAACTGGAAACCTCACTGTGATAGACTGTGGCCTTTTGATTCCTCTCCACTTGAAGATGATTTATTGTCAATGGTAGAATTTCTCAAGCCCTGGATAAGGTTGAAAGTACCTGAACTGTCTCCACGGAATGATGGAGAGGTGAGAATTGCCTTTACTCCACTACAGGAAACCTTAATTCCATCTGCAGACATTGTATGCACAGCCATTGGGCTCACAACAGCTGCTGCCGGTTCAGTTCTCTGTTTCTTGTGCTTCTGCTCCTGCTGGTGACCTGGAAGAAAACTGCCCACAACAACCTGTTTGCTCAAAACGATTGAGAAAGAAGGTATTAGACGGTGACACATATTCCTAGTGTTGTCCACTGGCCAGGAGGTATTAGACAGTGACACATATTCCTAGTGTTGTCCACTGGCCAGGTGGCACATTCTATGTCCATTGCAATAAAATTTACCATTGAGTTTTTGTTATATTTTATGTCAATAACAAATGTCTGAATTTTCTTTTCAAAACAAATTATCATCATCAAAACCTTATCTTAAAATTAGAAAGTTTTTAACAACTTAATGACCCTCAACTTTTTTATTATTTGCCTTTTTTAAAAGAAAAAAAAATGCTATATTTTATATAATATTGTTTTACCTGCACAGGACCAGCAGCTACCAACAGACCAGCAAGCCCCCCTCCTAGAACGCGACCATCTGGGCCTGCCAAAGAAACACTCATCCCACCAGATCTACTCTTTGTTCCACCATTCTCAGTAGGCATAAATGAACCGGACAAGGAAAGGATCTCAAAACGTCCCTGTAGAAAATAATAGGGAAGCTGGGTTATTACTTCACAGCTATGAGGAGAAAAAAATAGGATACACTTGATAATCACTAACTGTCCAAGCTTGGAAGCATCCTTGTGATACAAATGCAAAAGCAAGTTTGGGGCAATCTAGATTGCATCATGAGTTACTTTTTGGGTTCATATGAAGAAACAAATTGGCCTCAAAAACACAACCATGTTCATATGTGTAACTGAGTTCTACAGAGAATGCCACATGTTTTCTGCCCTTCTTCCATAATTAAGTGAAAATTAAAAGCTTCAAAGCATATCACATATTGAACTTCTAAAGAAACTAACACCCACTCACAGGAGTTGTTCCTCTGCCTCAGAAGTAAACCAGAACCGTTCTTCTTAATTGGTTTAATGGGCCTCAATAAAACAAGGAATCTTTTTATCTAATATTTCATATATCCTTATGCAATTGAACTTGAATTAGAGGAGGAATAAAGGGGCACCTCATATGTCAGAGAACCACCAGATGAAGTAGGCTGTCGAAGGGTAACATTTGAAATAGTGCCATTAGCAGAGAGAATGCAGATAGCATGAGTGCCTTGTTGAGAAAAAGACATCACCTTCATTATAATATCCTATGACAATCATAAGGAAAGTAAGAGATACAGAAAAAAACATAATAGCTGAAATGAGAAAAAAAGTCACCTTTTAAAAATAAAAAATTCCCAATCAATTTACTTCTATTGTTCACCCCTAATATCATGAATAAATTTATATATATATATATATATATATATTTTGCTCATTGTGCAATTAACATTCACCAAAGTAATACAAAAGATAAAAGAAAAACAGTACAACTTAAATGTAACATGCATGCATGTCTATGTTTCTATATTTGTTTGATTATAGATATGCATTTATTTATCCTATGGTTTCTATACAAAAAACAATAGGAAGATTATGTAACAAACTGAGAGAGTTTGAGAAATTGTGTTTGAGTTTTTATAATAAATTTGTTCCATTCTTTGAACCACATTCAAAGGGAGTCAGGATACTAAACCCTAAGAGCAAGAGGGAGAAAATTAAAGTTTAGATTTGATAGGAATCAGGAGTGGAATGTGGCCTTGGAAAAAATACCAACTTGAAATTCATTTTTTCTTTTGAGTTGGGGAAGGGGATTTGAACTGTGCTCTTTTGAGTAAGGAATCATGCACCAACCAAGAAGCCCAATGCCTAGGTGCAGCTTGAACGTTTTTTAATCATTATATAACTGTGCAAACGCAACTCATTTCCTAAATTACGTTTCCTCTGTAGAACCACAAGAATAATGCCAGCAGAAAACACCACACAATAATAATGCCATATGCAACTTACTTTATAGTGGTCAAGGAAGCATGCTAAGTTACCAGGGCATACCTCACCAGCATTAACAGTGATCACATGAGGTGTGAAATTTGCCCCAACAAAATATGCAATTCCGTCACCTATAAAAAGTAATCAAATTAGTAAACAAAAATGAAGCAGCAGATTTTTTAAGCATATTGATTGATCACATCTCAAATAAAAAGTTTGTCTTACCAATAAATAAACAACTTTTTAAAGATAAAAAAAAAAAAAAAAAAACCAAGCACAGTTATAGTAGAACTTGATGCTCTAGCTGGGTGCCTAAGTACAAAGAGGCGATGAGAAAAATCTGAATCATTGACATCTAAGGTAATTGGCTATTCACCAATGCGCCCTACATGTGTTGCACGACCCTATCCTGCAGTTAAGCTTAATTGTATCCAAGGAAGACTGAAAGTGGTGTGAGTCGAGTAAATATATACATTAATTATTGTGCTCAACTGTGGATTAAAGACAGTAATTGTACTTCAAGTTAGGATCATCTTCTGACAGAGATGGAAAGAAAATAGAAGTATAGCAGTAACTGCACCACAGAACCTGACAACTATTCTAAATACTAAGAAAATTAAAATGAAAGCTTAGAAAAGGTCAATTCAACTTCTAGAGGCATCACCTTGAGGTTCATGTTTAAGGTCAAATGGTTGTAGGCTTGTAGCTGAAACCTGATTCCCAGGTTAAAGAGGTGTGGACTTAATCAGCTGCAATATCTAATACTTATATTTTATTCTAGCTTACCTACTAAAAGGCTAAAACACAAAGGAAGGTGGCACTGGCACCTTGACTAATATTCTGTACCTTGCCATTTTTCCCTGTGGAAAGGCAGTACAGTACTCCAGACAAGAGAGAGATTCTCCTCGTTTTGCAACATCATCATATCATTAACTCGGCCTGTCTTTCAATAACTACCATTAATTCTAGATAGGGGCTAGAATCAGATATAACGGTCCCACTCCCATTTCAAACCCCACAAAAACACAGTCTCTCTGAACCCCTAAAACTCAAATCAATGAATTATCCTTTCATCCCTTTCTACAAAACTCAAAAAATGTACCACGCCTTTAGCTTTTTCGCAATACCAAAAACGTTAGTTGAACTCTTAACCTTTTTTAAAACAGATTTTCATTTTTTAAGCGGCCCAGATCCTGATATCCAATGTAACATTAAAAGTGTTAAACATCAGTCAAAAACATCTTCTAAGATTTCAAGGCAAACTAAAAAAAGAAACAAATGTATTACTGTCAAAGTACCTGGGCTGCTCTCGAACTCATACTGGTTTGACTTTTTGACCGTGTCAACCGACCGCCCTCTTCCCCGTTTCCAAGGGGTAACCTCTCCCGACAGTGGAATCGACGACGATATTGGCATCGGTGACAATGCCATTGCCAAAGACCCATCTGGTCCGTACTTTCTTGGTCTGCCTCTTTTTTTCTTCATCTCGGTGCTGGTGCCAGGTCCCAGAGGCGCTGCTATGCTCGCTGGAGGTGCAGCGTTGGCCTGCATTGTGGGCCCCGCATATGGGGTGGGGTTTTCCATTCTGGGCGCCACGTGGTAGCCCTTTGGAGCTTCATCCACTTTCACTGAGACCCCGGGCGTTGGTCCCTCTTTGTCCTCCATTCATATATGTTTTAGATCAAGAAAAAAGAAAAACCCCAGCTGCCTAAAACCCCTTCAACCTACGCATAAAACTTTAAAACTCTCTCTAAAATTTGGGTGATCAGAAGGTTCAAAAGAATTAATTTTGCCAATAAATCATCAAAAAGAAAAGAAAGAAAGAAAACAAAACTTGAGTTCAATTACAGAGTAAAAAACATACCAGAAAATAGAAGAAAATGTAAAATAGACAACAACTTCAATTAAAAATTCAAAGATCAAAAGTAACCCAGTTTTATGAGCATGAAAATGGGTTTACTTTTTTTTTATAAAAACAATTTTGTGGCTTAAATTCTCACCATTGCAGAGACTGCAGAGAGCTTGAAAATGCTCATAAAAAATTCAACAAAAAAATCATCAAGAATTACAAAGAAGAAAATGCAAACCTTTTGGAGTGAGACAAGAATTTGTTCAGGAAACAAGAATTTAGGGTTTTGCAGGGAAAGGAGATAAATAAATAAAGTAAAAAAAAAAAATTGGAAAAAATAAAAAATTATAAAAAATAAAATATAGTATATATGATTTAATATTGTGAATTTAATTAATAATTATTATTTTAATTGCAAAATTCAAAGTATGAATTTTGGTTAAGAAAAAGGTTCACGTCCGTCTTGGAAATTTAATAAATGGCAAAGATAGAAAATTTTGGGAGATTAAAGAAAATGAAAATTTGGGAAAAGAAAATTGCTTTTCCATTTTAAATTCCCATTTTTTTTAATTATTTAAAGCTTTAAAAATATATATTTTAAAGCTGCAAAGCTAACATTGGAGCCATGCCATTTTCCTACAACTGACATCTTCTTTGTCTTTTCAGTTAAACTAAAGTTGACAATACTAAATTAAACTAAACTAGAAATCGCCCCCCGTCTTCGCACGGCGTTGTTAATCTATCACTATAAGAGGAATATACTAATTAAGTTGTTCATACCATTAAAACATAAAATAGAAAGATATTCTTTGAGTTAGGGTGAGAAAATTTAGTAAATTTAATACGAGAATGAAACTGACTGTAGGGCGCAAATTTTTTAAATTTATAGATTTTTATAAATATTTGGCAAAATAATCAATGTTACTGCTTATATTATATAGCATTGAAAGTTTTATGCATATATCCAAAAGTGAGAAGCAAAAGTTTGTTATTGTCACATATTTATGTACAGATTAAGTGGTTTTATGAGGGTTAGCCAAGCATATGTCAGTCCCGATATGTTTGATTTCCATCACAAATTTATCCCTATGTTTTGGGTTGAGCCGAAAAGCTGGGTTAACCTTTTTTTTTTTTTTTTTGATTCTTTGATGCAAGCAAGAAGTTATTTCCTCCAGTGTTGTTTTGCTTTACATGCTTTAACATATTGTGGCTTTTGTTTCTTAGTTTTTACTAGTTGGACCTAGCAGGAAAATGAAACAAATATGAAAATCAAATATTTTTTAGTAGTTTTTGGAAAGTGTAACGTAAAATTTTGGTTTATAATACGAGGTTAGGATTTTTTTTCAAGATTTTGGGTTAATATCTTGCTTTTGGGCAAAATAAGATACTCCATATGTACATGTTGCAGAGTTGCTACCGTCTTCTACTTGTGTAAGGGGTCTTTCCCCTTGCTGCTTCCACTGCCATAAAAAAAGAAGCAAGGAGGTATTAGTTTTTTAGTCAATGTTTTTTCTAATTAAATGTTAAGAATGTATTTTCTTTGGAATAGTAAGGATGCCTACCTTGTTTTTTGCATTTTTGTTGGTGATTCTTTAGGAAATAAGTCTGCAGGTATTTTCTGTTGTGTTGGTGAGCTTGGCAATTGCTCTTTCTGTTCTTCCTTCGATGGGGATTTTTGTTCTGACTGGTTAGGTTCCATTTCTTGTTAAGTCAACTATGTAGGTTCCATATGAATTTCAGATGATGATCTTCCTCTTAGTTTAGGTGGTAGTAGCAACAGTGGACTTTCTTCACCACCTTCATTTGGTTGATAAGCGGTATGAATAGAGAAATGAGGAATTCCTATATCTATTAATTGGTTTGTCATAGATATTTGGAAAGCTCCTTTTTGGTTCTCAAGTCTTTTTGATAGTTGGGGAAGGATCATAGGATCCCCTTTGGCCAATGCTACCAAGCTCATTATCGAACCTCTCCATAACCTGTCTTTAGGGGCGCCAAAAAACATAAACTGTATAATTCCAGTGCGGTCTTCAACAACAATGGGCATATTACAAATGTAACAGGCAATGTTTAAGTCAAATGGTTATGACTATTAGAGGTATTTTCTTTTGCCAAGTTTTAGAGTATACCTGGGTGTGGGTATCCTTTCATGGTGTTGTAAGCACTAAAATTTACCATCACATACAATAACTGTTTGGATGCATTGGTTGCAAGAGTTGTAAAACCAACCTTGTGAGGTATCAATTTCAAGGATCCTTGCTGCACATGTGTACCTAATGTTCTGTAGTTGAGAAAATGTGGAGAATTTGTTATTTTTTCCTATTGCTAAGAACAAAAAGAAGTAATAATGAAGCCAAACGAGTTGATGAAATACCATAGATTTGTTTGGATCAAGTTTAAGCAGCTCTTCAATGGTCATTCTGTTTTTTCCTTTTTCTTCTTGTGGTGGGAGGCGAGGCACAATGTTGAGATCTAGCAATTCAACTTGTCTTCTCAGCTACAAACCTAAGAATGCAATCATAAATATCATTTCAACTGTTGTTATTGCTATCACATGCATTGTAATTTATTCATGTTTGTTAGCTTGTGATATACCTATCTTTTAGCTCAATAGCAAGTTCAATATCAGGATTGATAATGATCCTTGAGGCTGAACATGTTGTAACAGATAACCGACCTCTTTTTTTCTTTTAAATGGACCAGATGCATGTTGGTCTATGCATGAAGTACACGAGCTATGTGTATTTTTGGAAAATGGATAAGGGTTGAGAATTTTTTGATAAAAAAATTGTTTAATTGGTTATAAGTTCAAATTATGGAACATGCAACACCATTTGAACCATAAATGTAACAACGTACCCATAAATTTTGTGACAGTCATGGCAGTAAACAAAATTATTAGTTTATTTGCATCACCCAAAAACTGATCTTCTCTAAGTAAGTTTGCAAAGTCACCCCAAAGCGTTACATTAATCAAATCATTTCTGCAAAAGGATACTACCTGTTCAAAAAAAGAAAAAACAGCACAAACTATATTGATTGGTCAAATGATAATAAACCTGACAAAACTACAATGAACAACACATACTCACAAATTCATATTTGCAAGTTTCTCTATGTCACCTCCCGAGGGTTGTCTCCAATACATGTGCTACCTAGCTTTTCTATGCTAACCAACAATCCAAGTACATCTGGACATGATTATAGAAAAGTAGTGAGCTTAAAGTCTAGCTTAGAACATAAGATTTAAAGTTTTGTGTTTCTGTAAACAGTTTTAAACCTAAAATGATTTGATTTTTTGTAAAAAGTGGATTGTACTTTAAAAGATGATTTTTCATTGGTGTGCTTAAATGAAGACATACTTATTTGCTTTTTTCTGTCCAATGGGAAAATCTTCTTTAAGATCTGGGTGTGTCAAACCATTTCATTCCCTTAAATAGACCATATTGAGATTCATTTTCATCATTCGATGCAATAATCATTAATTTCTAAGAGATTCAATCACATGTTTTCAAAAGAATATGCGTTTTTTGGATCATGAAATAGTTATATGGTCAATTTCATTGGTTGTCATAAACATTGAGGCATTTGTTGTGAAGACATTTATATTTTAATTAACATAAATTGGTGTGGATAAGAGATAGGTGATTTGAGATCATTATGGTAAGAATGACTTTTTGGAACAAAGAGAATGGTCAAGGTAAAAGGTTTGAAGAAGATCCATGGATAAGATAAATGGTTTAAAAAATGGAATGCTTTGAGTCAAAAGAAAGGGATAAAGGAATATTGCTGAAAATTAGCTTGTTAGCTAGTTCTAAAGGTTTGCGACAGAAAATGAAAAAGGGCTTGAGAACCCATTTACTACAATTAAGGATTCATGACATTGATTTTTGCATTACATGCATAACATTCATCTCATTCATTACATATTCAGTTGACTTTGGATTTTGATTTTGAAAGGCTGAGAATTTCGAAATATAAGATTCTAACCCTCGATTGAGGAAAATTGTTAAGTATGAGATTTCAATTTTTGGTTAAGGAAAAATTTTCATGACAAAAGTGATAAGTTTTGGGCTAAGAAAATTTTTAAAATGAGATTTGTAAAAGTGTTTAGTTGTGATTAGGGAGTGAAGCCTTTCCTAAGATAAGATGTTTTTGTTTCAAAAGAAATAATATTTTTTAAAGTTTCAAAACCTATGTTAAGCATAAGCTTTTTCAAAGATAAAAAATAATTTATAAGACCATTGGACATGATTTGTAGGACCTGTGGGTATGATTCTCAATACCTTTAAGCATAATTTGTAAAACCTTCTGGCATAATTTGTAAGGCCTTCTGGCATAATTCTCAAGACCTCCAGGTATGATTTGTAAGACCTCTAAACATGATTTATAAGACCTCCAAGCATAATTTGTAAGACCTCCAAACATAATTTTTAAGACCTCCAGCATACTCTCAGAAAAACTAAAGTTCGAAAAAATAAGACATTTTAATAAGGTTTTGATCCTCATATGAGGAAAATATTGCAAAGATTAAGTTTGAAACCTTTGGATGATGAGAATTCAAAATGAGTTGGTAAATCTTAGTTAAGAAGCTCTTCCAATTTTAAAATTTCTTGACCTTTGTTTAGAAGAGTTTTTTTTTCCACAAGATGAGAAAATCATATATGAATCCTTGAGACATTGAATTTTAAATATAAACTTTTCAAATGAGAATCTTTGAATCTTGGATGTGAATCTCTAAGATTTTTAAATGTGAATCTTTAAATCATTAATGCGAATCTTAAAAAATTATGTAAGTCTCAAGAACCTTTCAGTAAGAATCTTGAATCTTTAATTTGAATATTTAAATGAACCATTAATTTCATTCAAATAAGAATCCCTTTTTATATTTTTAAAGTCATGTACCTTTATTATGATGAGCCTTTATTTTTAAAGCTGTGTGCTTCTGTTATAGAAGAGCCTTTATTTTTAAAGCTGTATGCCTCTATTATGAGGAGCCTCTATTTTTAAAGTTGTGAGTCTCTATTTAGAGGAGCCTTTTATATTTTTTAAATTGTTGAGTCTTTGATGAGATGAGTCATTTATATTTTTAAAAATTGCTAAGCCTTAGTCCACGAGGTTTTATTAAAATGAGATTTTAAAACTATTAAGAAAATCTTTTTTAAATGCAAATCTTTGACATGAATCTCTAAAATTTTCAAATGAGAACCTTTAAATTTTGAATGTGAATCTCTAAGATTTTAAATGTGAATACATGAATTTTGAATGTAAATCTCTAAGATTTTGAATGTGAACCTTTGAATTTTGGATGTGAATC